TCCCATCCTGCAGAGAAGTCGGAACCAGCGGCTGAAGATACACGCGTGCGACTTCTCCAAAAAGGCAGTCGAGCTCATCCGCAACCACGAACTCTACGACCCGGAGCGCATACAAGCTGACGTCTGGGACGTGGCCGCCGCTCCCGACTCGGAGAACGGCGGGCTCCCCCCAGGTCTGGCTGAAGGCAGCGTAGACGTTGTGCTCATGATCTTCATCTTCAGCGCGCTGAGTCCCAAGCAGTGGGACCAAGCCGTCCGCAACATCTGGCGGGTTCTCAAGCCGGGCGGCCAAGTCCTCTTCCGCGACTACGGCCGCGGCGACCTCGCCCAAGTCCGCTTTAAAAAAGGCCGTTACATGGAGGAAAACTTCTACGTCCGCGGCGACGGTACGCGCGTCTACTTCTTCGAGCAGTCTGAACTCGAGGATATCTGGGGCGGCGCCAGAAAACGCGATACTACCATTGGCAACGTGGCGGACACCACCATATCCCAGACCGAGGCCGAGGGTGTCATCGCAGATAAGATGGAGAGTCTGTCTCTCCACGATCCTGGCATGCAGACGAGAGAGCAGAGCCACGATGACGTCAACGATCTGGACACTCCCAGGCCGGGTTTTGAGATTGCGCACATTGGCGTCGACCGACGGATGCTGGTCAACAGGCAGAGGAGGCTGAAAATGTATAGGTGCTGGATGCAGGCTGTGTTTCGCAAGGCAGGCATGGAGAGCGAGGTGCCAACGAGCACGCTGAGGCAGGACAAAGAAGACGCTGCAGAGGAAGAGGAAGAGTGGCAGAGTGGCGTGGGAAAGGAGGATGCAGTGGAAGGAGGGGGCGTTAAGGTTTGAGGGTCCGAATCGTGAGGGTGGAATGCAAAAGTTGCAGTGGTGGCCTGTAGTGGGGATGAATGATACCATGACATATGAGAGAGAAGACGTTGTAAAAGTAGAGTATACTATGCGTCAAACCACTGTTGTGGTTAGAAAGCAGCGCTAGAGAGCACACTTGATTGACCCGTCGTGTTGTCTCCCGCCTCGTGGGCCTCATGGATCATACACAGCAGCAGATGCAAAAGCGTTTGGTCGAGAACGCACTGGATTGTGGTGTACTATGAGACAAAGACCGCCATGCTACGCTAAACTACCAGGCTCGTGATACAAGCTATGATGCGAACCCAACACCCAATGCTGCGCTTTCCAGAACCAGCACCTATAGAGCCTCAATCGAGGGTATCACAAGAACCGGTGCAAAGCCTACCCTCCAGTCCACAATCATGACAAAACTTCCCTGCACACGTCTAGTTCCCCTCAAGAATCCCCTTGAGAATCCCTGCTCCAGGTCCTACGAGTGAATCCGCCAACTCCTTTTCTCCAACAACACTAGCAACCCTGCGATCCTCTACCGCAACCCCGGGGAAGGCTTTGCCCCTGCCCCTCCGGCTCGGCGTGCCAGCGCCAACATCCAGCGACCCTGCTTTGCCCTCCACCGCTGAGACAAGCGAGAGCGTTTCCAGACTGCTCACAATGTCTCTGAACTCTGTGCTCGTCAGAGGATGCAGTATGTTTTCTCGTCTGCATAGCACGGTGTAGGCTTCGAAGAGTTCCTTGATGCTAGGGGATGTAGTGTGGGATCGGGAAGGTGTGGCCAAGATGCTATCGGCGGCAGTGGCGCGCTTCTTCTTCTCAATAGCAGAGAGCGAGCAGAGAACGGCTTTTTGTTGCAGATTGAGGTTCCGCAGGCGTTGGCTGGTGCCGTTGCTGAAGACAGCTGCTGTGATTCTGGCCATGTGGGCAATGGTGGCGCGCGGTGCAGTTTCGACGGTGAGCGAGGCGAGGGAAGCTGCGATGACGCTGTTGAGGTCTTTGGTTTTGGCGGGAGAGCGGATGGCCGGGGAGGAGAAGTTGATGTTCTCTACAAGCGGTGTTTTCGAGGGCGATGGCGTGGGAGATGGTGTGATTTCTGTGGCTTTTTTCGCGTGTCGGTCGCGCGTGTCGGCTTCGACGAGGTCGATTGCTCGCCGGCAGATGTCAAAGGCTTTGCGCAGGTCGCCGGACTGGGCGGCTACCTTTTTGGAGAGGAACACAATGGCGGTTGGGTGGATGAAGGGCAGCTGTGTTGAGCCGGCTGGGAGAAGGGCTTTGAGTTTGGCAGTGATGACGGAGGAGATTTGGGCGGCATTGTATGGGAGGAAAGGCAGTAGCTGTGGCTTGAGACCGCGGGCCTTGAGCCGCGGGAGAAAGCGATCCGTGAGATCCAGCGCGTTGGCAATGCCGACCAGCACCAGCCCCGATGCCTTTTGTAGTGACCACTCGAAGATGTTGTAGAAGAGCTCGACGTCGAGCTCGAGCAGGTGGTCCACTTCGTCGAGGGTAACAACATACGACGTCTGTCGCTGCATGAAGACGGTCCGCAGCGCTTCCATCTCGTCGCCCTCTGCAACTTCGGTGATGTCGACAAAGTCTTCGAGCAGCGTCCTGTACAGATCTGTAGCGTTCTTCACGCTCATGCAGTTGATGTAGCCGGTTCTGACAGACTCGTCCGCGGAGACGGTGCGGCAGACATCGTTGACAAAGGCGCTCTTGCCGGTGCCGGGCGGGCCCGAGACGTAGATGCAGCCTGAGGTCTTGGCCTTGGTTCGGCTTGTGATGAAGGCCGCGAGCTCCCTCCTCTCGGTGTCGCGGCCGAACAGCGCGGTGGGGGCAGAGCCTCTTGCGAAGACCTGGCGCGCTTCGTGGTAGATGGTGGGCGCGGTGCTGCGCGGAGTGCCTGGGGTGTGGGGAGTGCGAGGCGTCAGCGGCCGGCCGGCGATGATGAGTCGGTGTCTGGGTGTAACGGCCACTTTGCCGGCAAGTGTGTCGCGATGCCTGGGCGTCGAGGGGGTAGGCGCGAACTTGTCTGGCAGGTCGACGAGCGCCTTCTGCGGAGAGTTTTCTTGGGCAGGACTCGTGCGCGCCTTCCTTCCGCGTCTCGCCGCCGCCTCGTCTCCGGGCTCGTCCACATGCTGCTTCTTCGGGGTGACGAAGGGGTTCTCAATCTCGCCCTCATCGTGTATCACGAACTGCGTCCTCCGTTTTGCGCGTGTTGCGAGGTGGAGCTTGGATTCTGCAGAGCGCGTCAGGGACGTCCCGTCGTCGATGCGTGCAGAACTACGCGTTCTCTTTCCAAGGACGGTAGGCGCCATTGTGTTGTGCGGCGGCAAGGTGTGATGCGTGGTTGTGGAAGTTGCGAAGCACAGTGATGGAAGGAGCTACCTAGGTACGCGACAGGCACGCGCGACGCGATATCGCGTTAAGTGCCCCAAGGTTGGCCTAGTGCCACGCCCGCATTCAGCACCACCTAGGCCCATTCGGGCTGAGGCTTCACGGCAAGCACACACCAGGCGAGACCAGCAAGTCACCGGCAGTCTTCCATCATGTACTGTCGTAGCGATCCAGCGTCGGTCGGACAGCGCTCAGTGTGTCACCCTGATTCTGTCGACTTGTTTGCTAAGAACCCCTGCGCCTCATGGCGCTCTCCAACGACATCACCCCCGTTTAATGTCTGGTGCACATCTAGTGATCCCGTAAAGACGCGCAGAATATGGTCGCCACCGCTCCACTGCCACTGCGTTTGCGTGGTACAATTGGGGTGCTCTTGGCACTCCACAGTCCTACGGGTGGTGCAAGAAGCAGGGCTGGTACTAAGCGTACGACGTGGGCGATCGGGAAACCTGGTAGCATAAAGGCCTCACACCCAGTGCACATCAATGGCCATCTCTCCCTTTCCCCAGTTCCCGCATCACCCCTCCCGAGCCAACCGCGCGGTGCGGGGCATCGCCAACAGAAGAGCGCGAAATGCCATACCCAACATATCCGTCGTGGTCACATGGCTTGGACTTCTTCCCAGAGGCTTATCCGTACCGCTATACCAGTCGACGATCGTCTCGAAGGTCGCGCGTTCCTCGATGGGCATTTTCAGAGCTCGCAGTAGGGCCATGTTGCGAATTTTGTGTCTCTCATGACAAGATTGTACGCTACACGCTGGCCACCTGACCCCTCACCGCGCCCGTCTGACCATCTACAGCCAAGTCTAGAGGAAGGTCTGTTTGAGCTGGGGATGATGGCGCCTCCCTACTTTGACCACGTCCTGGAAGCTTACCAGGACATCCACTACCACTACAAGCGTGGTTTCGACCAACATGGCCCTGAATCTTACTACATCTCCCGCGAGATTAGGCGGCTATCAGAGCTGCTACGCAAGCTGTACTTTGCAACAGGTATGCGTGAGCTGGCTTCGTGGTCAAACCAGCTGAAGTACATGAGAAGCGACGTACAATTGGGACCCGGGCATCGTCAGCTGAGCACACTACCGAAGCACCGGCATAATTCTTGGTTCCTGCATTAGCCGATGGGGTGATGGATGCAGGCGCTTGGCCTGGCGGTGTTGTGCTCGACGAACTTATGTTGAACGCTGTATTGTTCCGTAGACATGGCCTGTACCCTCCTCAGGCGACCTGTTGCGGTGTACGTAAAAATGTTCGCTGCTGCCTGGTGCTGCTGTTTTGGCGATACAGCCGTCATGACGTCAAAGTGAAAGACCGGCGGAAGGTCGCGGTGACCGTGGAATTGTCCCGCTTCAAATGTTCCTTTACTATAGTCCGCACGCGCTTGTTATCTTGGTCAAAGGAAGCAACGATTGCTCCATACTTTTCGAATTTCTATTCCAGATCTAATGTCCCCACAATCACAATTGCACGTTGGCTGAACACATTTGCGTACCTGAATATATTCGACTACAAATCGAACCCTCTCTTACCTACGAACATGGCCATCCCGCAAGACCCCGCCACTGCGAATCGGCCATCAAAAACGAAGGGCACACAGCTAGCACTCGAAGAAAATAGCGACATCGCGCGAATCAGAAATTGTCTCCAAGGTGGCGCAGACGCAGCCGAGGTCGCATCGGAAGGATACCGCGTCTGTCGCATCAACGCCTTTCTTCGGCGCGACCTTCAACAAGCCCGCAATGGGATTCGTAAGAACCGCGTCGACAGACAGACACAATCTGTTCAAGAAGATGCTCTCAAGGAACTACGTGATGAGTTGCCCGCAACGCGCCAGATGCTCGAGCGCCTCTGGGGTTTGCTCGAGCAGCGGAAGGTCAAGATACCCGACAACGTCAAGGCCGACTATCAAGCGCTGAAGGCCAAGGACTCGCATGACTGGCAGCCCCGGCAGAGGGTCAGGACAGTGAAAAGCGTAGTGGCAAAGGGCAAGAGAATCGAAAACCCCAAAACGAAGACGGAGAGGAAGGCTGAAAGACAGCGGGTCGATAAATTGCACAAGCGTCTCGAAGAAGGGAAAGCCAAGCAGACCAAGTTTCTGTTACACACCCCAGACGGCGAAATGTACGACGCACGGCAGCCTGTCCTTATTCCAGACGAAGCTGGAGACGAGGACGTTGCCGGCGAGCAGATGACAGCGGAAGACGCGGCAGCCATCGAACATGCCGACTTCATGAAGAATGGCAGTTCTTACCGACCCCGGGCGCTTACTCCACCGTCTGGGCTTGTCGCGAAGAACGTCGTTGCGGGAGTCAAGCGCAGGTCAAGCGATTCGAATCCCTTTGCGACACTCAAGATGGGCCAAGGTTGATGATGGCGACGGAGCCACTGACAGTTGGGTGAAATAGAAGGCGTGTTCGTGTCGCTCGCCGAGAGCCAGTTGGGATGAGTTTTGTTACCATCAGGGGGTATGGAGGTCTTCAAGATATCTTTGCCATGAAAACGGGCTATGATATTGCCTGGCTATGTACTAGCGGTGTTCTCAGCCAGAGGCAACCGCGTCTATCTTGATAGTAGACTCATGGCTTTCCTCATGACACGACATATCTGAGCCCCGAACTACCTGCATATTCTGACATTGGCCTTTGTCCTCGAGGACGTGGTCTGCGCAACTTTACCAAATGGTAGTATTTTGATGATGAGCTCATCTCATTTGGCTCCTGGCGTGGACAAACAACCCCGACCCCGCAGTGCATTTCTTACTGAAAAATATGCTGGGAATTATGCCGAAGTTACCCACGCATGCGATTGATGGATGATGAACATGTGCGTCTCCACACGTGCAGCCGATCAATTTGTTTGCTTGTTTGCTGAATAGCAGCGTCTCGCCTTGTTGATTTCACGCTCGTCTCCAATGAACACCAGCATCTACTGCCACTGTGCCTGAGTGTCTCCATTATTTCTTTGTTCCAGTCTTCGCAAGCCAAAATCAGCGAGACTGCCTGTTCAGACGCGGCAATGTCGTGTTATCAAGGCATTCGCACCGCAGCACGCGCCCGGTTCTTTCAAGCGAGGCCACTTCAGACACAGGGCGGGAAGGGGTGGTCACATCGATGGTTGAGGTAGCCCGCCGAGCAAAGTGCACTCGCGTCGTCGAGAGCCTCCTCGACATCGACCCGTCCTACCAGAAGATCACTCAAGCTGTGGATTCAATGTCCAAGATGTGACTGGCTCGATGGGTCCGATATCATGTCACCTCCGGGTTTCTGTTTAGGGCTTTTGGTCCGTAGTGCTTGACTTACGTGAGGAGGGCCTATGTCATCGCCTGCCCAGGTGGGCGCCTGTTGGCACCATTGCGCGCCAAAGCAGAAACACGGTGCACGCTCGCTCCGCTTTCGCGAGCAAGGAAATTACCATGCTGACATATCGCGCGATGCGTCATATCACTACATGCAAGCTTCCAGTTGTGCAATGTACTCCTATGTACTCATCCTTCATTTGCACTTCCGCACGTCCTATCAGGCAGGGGTCGCACGGGCTGCTCTGCCTTTACCCCTATGAGTTTGACAGCTGCGTACAGTCCCCCCCCCAAGTCAGGGTGCCTGGTGTTGTTCGGACTCTCTTTGTAAGATCCGTACACCCCATAGACGCTAGGCACCCGAACCAGAGGGGGGAACTGTACTGACAGTGGCCAAAAACGAGTGCCAGGCCCACACGGATGAACGGCACCTCTTATGACGTCTCGTCACTCACCACGGATAAGTATTGCGAGGCTCGAGTAGGACGCCAGCCTAGCCGATTATGCGCCGAGTTGAACAAACGGCTGCGGGTTCGAGCATAGCGTAGGTTTCACTTCCCGGCCAGCTGTTAGTTCCGTTCAACGGTGCAGGAGGATCTGCGGCCTACCTGCAGGCTGCGGAACGTGCCATGACTTGGCGCGCAAGAACCTCGGCCTCCACGCGAAGCGCTAACGGTTTGGGCGTCAGCAATTTGGAGACGCGGAGATGAACTCGACGGTGCGGTGCGCGTTTAGGAATGCCAACTCCATCGAGCGAGGAAAGAAGCCACTTGACTGTCTTGACACTGCTGATCTGGAGCTCAACTACACCCATGGATTCCACGCGCAGCCAAAGCGGTAGTGAGCGCATTCCAGCTTGCCCAGGTGGTAAGATGTTTGCGACCTGGAGTATCAGCCTCGACGAGACATGGTGAGACGATTGTCTTGTCGGGCGTGCAAGGATTAGCGACGGAACATTGTCACTGTCGCCGAACACGATCTGTCGCTTGCAGGTGCTGCAATACCACGCCTGTGCCACATCAGGCCATGTAGACGGAGAAGGACGGCGACTGGTGCCGGACAAACGAGAAGAGCCAGCAGCCGATCGTAGTGGTAATTTCCAAGGCTGCCCACGAGCTGGCGGGTCACCAACTCCCAGTGCGTTGCCCGCTGGCTATCAGTCTTTTCGTGAACTGCGTCTCGAGATGCTCCACAGCGCCCCATCCCGAGTGCATCTCGCTTTCGAACATCTCATTCGGCGGCGCCAAAGTCATCGCGGTCTTGAGTTACCATGCATCATGCTACAACTCGTAACCAGTTCTGAAATGCTGATGATACCTGTCTTCTCGTACCCTCTCCTCCAGCCATATGATATTTGGAGAGTTGACTTTGCGTATATATCCTGATGCCAACAGTATACAGCAAAGGCAGGCTCTCATTGCCTTTCCATTTACGTCTCTTACTTTCAATCAATATTTCAAGGTTTGCCTGCAGACAATGGCACCAACCACCAGATCCGGATCTGGATCTGGATCAAGTCCAATCCCAAACAGCCATGCACGACACAGCTTGGCTTCTCAACCTGTCAACGATTCAGCCCAAAGTCATGGTAGCCGACGCGATGTACCACAGGTGCATTCTCCCGCCGTAGACAACGTGCCAATAGTCCACAACACCCCTGCACTCCATGTACAGCGCATGCTCCATGTCCGTATTCCACGAAAGGCCACCGTCATGCCCAACCGATTGCTGGAGGAGCGAATCATAGCGCCACAAAAGCAAAAGAATCAGAAGCGATACCAGGGCCTGGTGACCAAGCACAAGTACCGACTCGGCTCGCCAAGGTTCAGGATCTCGAGGCGCATTAGAGACCCAGAGTGCTGGGAAGTGCTTACGCGAGATACTGAAGTTGTGGGTCCTAAAGGGTGTTGGGTTGCGAAAGGAACGTCGACTTTGGAACGCCCGTTCGGGAGTGCTGCCAACGCTTACCGCGTATACCATGTCGATCGCAAATGTCTCAACGAGAAGCTGGAAGGCGAGGTAGCATACACCCACCTTGCTATGAATGTCATGGGCTTTAGGTGGGCGCTCAAGTTCACGACGATAGTGGGAGATGTGCCCCAGCAGTTCGAAGTGTCACATCTTTGCGGTCACTCGCATTGTTATCGGCCGTCCCACCTGGTGCTCGACTCACATCAAGTCAACTTGCGACGATCGCGATGCTCTGGCCATGGCTGTACCCATGCACGCGGACGCGGCCAGAAATGCTTCGGCCACGAGGAATGTCCTGAGTTCTGCCCGGAGCGTTTGAAAGAGGTGGAGCGGCAGTTGAAGCGAGATGGCCACCGGCCTGACAAGTGCGACTATGCAGAGATAGTGGAGTAGTGGAGGCAGGCACGCACGCCACTGATATGTCTGAAACACCGCATGTATTGTTACCTTGTTGTTGATCTACTCTGCATTAGAATCAATATCGTTCGCAGCCGCACCGAAGGCAATCCCTTACTGAATGTTGAAGCCAACTGCATGTTGCCTCCAAGCAGTAGCCCGTGCACTGATAGCTTCAGGAGAGACTTGCTAGCCGAGAACATCCCGTCCCCTGCCAATGCTGCAGTGCTGGAACCTGTGTGGCTTGGCTATCACAGTTCGACGCACGGTAAGTTCCTGAAGGGCCGATATCAGCATGGCGGCGTGACGCATTGTGTAAGCAGCTATGACAATTAAACTGGTGCTGTTTATAAAGCTTTGCCTGTAGTCCCGTCCTAATGTCCTACTTTCCCCAACTTTATCGTAACCTCTACTTTCTTCTCTTCTCATCCTACAATGGGTGTTTACAACCTCAGGTCTCGGTGCTCTCCCCCAGCGCCACTTCGAAGCCCTCAGTCTCCGAAGTCGCGCAAGTCTCCGCGCGCGTACAACATCAGGTCTCGGCGCTCTCCCCTAGCGCCACTTCGAAGTACTCAGTCTTTGAAGTCGCGCAAGCCTCCGACGTCGCGCAAGCGTCCTGGCCCGACCCCAAGGGGGAAAGACCTCACAAAGCCCGTGGGGGATGACGAAGCGACCGGCTACTCTCTGAAGAACCTTCCGCCCCTTCGTCTAGGGATGATGCCCGAAGACTTCGTCAAAGAGGTGAAGGCCCAGAAGCTCAGGCTCCTCCGCTTTGTGCCTGATTCCCACGACTGGCTCCAGCAACACCTGTCCACAATCGAGTTCACGGATTGCGAGTTGGAGATTTCTAAGAAGAAGCCTACTCGCAGAGACGAGGAGCGGATTCTAAAAGAATTACAATTGCCATTCAACTTTGACAATTCGGACTGGCCCGGTGTGAAGTCACAGAAGAGCCAGAAGTTGAGAGCTCTAGATCAGCTCACTAAGGAAGAACGTTGGGAGTTGTTGCTCAAGAACACTGTTGTGTCGGGTCCTAACGGCTGTTGGCACGTGGGGGATACAGTTCACTTTCAGTATCCATCAGGTTTTCGGGCGAAATCTCACCCGATGAAAAAGGTAAGCATTGATTCTTTTCAAGCGCGCTGAAACATGGCCATGTTAACTTCCTACTAGCTATCGGGCATCGAGTTGAGTTTGCACGTTATCGCGGCCAGCTTGGGCATATACGCCCCTTGGATCAAGTTTACGATGGACTCTCAGATTCTCAAAGGTCATGGGAAATGGGATGTTTCGCACCTTTGTGGACATGGTCACTGCTTCCGCCCGTCCCATCTAGTGATCGAGATGAGCAGCACCAACCAGCGTAGGCGGGACTGCAAAGGTGGCGAGACATGTCGATGTGGTTACAGGGAGGGCACGCCTAAATGCTTCGGGCACGAGGAATGCCCGGATACCTGTCCCGTGCGTTTGCGAATGTTGCTCAAGAAGAAGTGGAAGAACGATGATTGGGAGCGAGCGCTCGACATACAGGAAGCTGGTGGTGCTAAAGCCAAGGTTCGATGTCGGGTGGTAGACCCCTGTTGGTACAGGGATCTCATTGCGTACGAAGAGGCATTGGCAAACCCTATTCGATCGTCCAAAAGGAAGAGGAAAGCGAATGACGAACCCGCGGAGGAGCCCAAGAAGAAGGCTAATACAGCCACAACAAGGGCGCAACGTCGGGTTTCCAACAGGAAAACCAAGTTGCGACGCCACTGATGGAAAGGATTTGTTGGCAGAATAGTTCTCTTTCTCTTTGTATTATTACACAATTCATGCAAGCTATCCAAAATCTCCTCACGATCCTCCAACGTCCAAGTCCGCCGTGAAGTCTTTTCGAATCGTCAAATTTTCGAAGGTTTCTTGATTTTCAATGACCAGGCCTTGTTCGTTGGCCAGATGCAACAAACAAATAAAGCAGTAGCTTGTGGAGATATCAGCCAGGGTTTGTTTTGGGTAGACGGCCTGTAGGCTGTTGACAACGTCGGTAAAGGTCAACGAACCATCCACGGCCTTGTTTGCTGGATCGTCGGCAACATTGGGCTGAGGAGGCGCAGAAATCTGATGGTTGTGAGCTTGCGAGTCAGATGAAGACGGCTAGATACAACTTACGCCATCGAACCCGATACCCCTCCAGAGTTCGTCCTTTAGTCTTTTCACGTCCACCTTCTTTGCGACCCTTGCGTACTGGACGTATTCAGGCCGAAATCGTCGGCTTTGCGTCACAAGCTGAGCACCGAATGCGTCGGTCTGCGAACCCGGTTGCATGCCGTCGAGTGGTAGTGTAGCTTCAGGTGCGTCAGGCGGCGGCGAGAAGTGATCGCGCGCATCTGCAAACACATCGTCATCGTCGAGAGGGCCACTAGGTATCTGGAGACCATCATCCTGGAAAAAGTCGGCGTCGTAGTTTCCCTGTGCATCGTCACCGTCGCCTTCTTGACCCTGGTGAGCCCAGTATGCTTCGTCCACGCGTGCTGAATCTCCAGGGAGTGCATGTGCACGGCGTCCTCCCTTGCGTGAGCCCATACGCGCCTTGGGTTTAAGGAAAAGACGCAGCAGCTGTTTGGAGTTGAAGTGCTTGTCGTCTGGGAGAAGGTTGCGCGACCTGGACTTCCATTGTGCTTTGGGTAGAGATATCGCGGAGTTGGATGTCGCAGGCGTGTAGAGCACATCTGCTAGTGTCTGTGTCATTGGAGCTGTGAAGTCGATCTCGAATGGCTCCCTTTCCTTCCGTTTCGTCGCCGGTGCTGTCTTTGCGGAATGCTTGACGCGTGAGATGCGCCAATGCTCAGGCCCTGCCCAGCTCTTCTTAAGAGCTTGGTCAAAATAGCTAAGGATGTTCTCTTGTTCTTGGTCGCGGCCGTGCATCATGGACACGCCATACTGAGCGTCGGCACTGTCTGTGTTCTCGTCGCCATTCAGGTCCATGGTGTGGATGCGAGCTTGTGGATGCTGGATAGCCTCACGAGCCCAGATCTCCCCGCCTTCGCCAAAGCCCGTCTCTGGAGGCAGATCAAACCCGCCCATATTCAGGTCATGATCGTCGTCAAATTCCATGGGGTTATCGTCGCCGAGGAAAAGACCTGATTGGCTGCCTGCGTTGTCGTCTCCGTGCTTGGCTCCGTCTTCACCGGAGGAGTTGTCAGCAGCCTTGAGGAAGGGAAGGTCCATAGAGCCATTCACATCGCCGAGATCGAACGTCTTCATCGACGGACACACGTCTTGCCGGTCGAGCTGGGAAAGATCGTGGAAGTACTTGGCAGTCAGGCCGGATATATCAACATCGATGGCGTCAGGGGCCAGTTGATGGTCATGAGTGGGGAGTGAATCTTGGGTGGCGGCATCGTTGGCGTCATCGCTGCTGTCGAAGACAATCCTGCCGCTCCCGTCTATAGCCAGGTGGTTAAGAAGGAGTCCTTTGGCCCCGCCCTCGTCAAAGTCGGCCGAGGCTTTTTTGAAGAGCGGATCAACCGAGAACTCGAGCTCCATCTTCTTGTTCTGCAGTTGGGCAAAGGACGACGCGAGCGTGGCTTCTGCAGAGCGAGCAGCCCTCTTCTTGCGCTTCTTCTGGCCATGCTCTCCGGCTTCAGCCTCCTCGCCGTCGCCCTCATCCTCGTCGCTCCCATCAGCATCGTCGCCGTGTCCTCTCCGCTTCTTGCCCACATTCTCGGCGAGTCCGCTGAGCAGCTTGCCCGTGTCGGTCGCAACGCTGTCGACTCTGCTGGTGTAGATCTTGACGCAGCCGTCTAGCGTGCAGCTAGCCTTCTGGAAGTTGACGCCGTCGCCCTCTTTGAGCAGGGACATTTCGTGGAAGTAGTCGATGAGGGCGAAGTTCCACGAGTTGTTCGCGTTGATTTTCTGAGCGGGGCGTTAGCTTGGAGCAGCGACGACGGGCGTGCGCATGCCTACGTTGTCCGTCGCCATCTTCATCCATTCCTCGAAGTTGGCCAGCAGGGGCATAATGTGGGTGCCCGGTGTAACAGCCGTGCCAGTAACATCGGGCATGTCGTCGCCATCTTGCGACGGGGTGCGTGGCGTGTCGTGGGCGGCGGCAAGCGACACGCGGCGGCGTCCGGGAGTCGCAGTCGTAGTCGAGGCGCGCATCGAGTCGCGCTGGGCCTGTTGGTGCGCATGGCGGCGGGCGGCCTTTTCCTGGCGGTCGTCGTTGAGCGGCACTCTGCGGGCGACGGGTTAGCCTAGCAATGCGCCCGCGCGGAGCGTTGGGGCCTACCTGACAGGCGTCTTCTGGGGCGAGGCGGCCGTGGTATACTTGGTGGAGCGCGCCATGTTGGGCGATGGGTGTGGTGCTGCAACAGCCGTTCTGGCGTCGATGCCATGTTGCTGTTGTTTGTTTGGGCGCCACAATTGCCCCGCCGCTATCACCAGACAGGCAGCGGCAGCACCGCCACGCGCTAGCGCAGTGGCGGCATTTCCCCGGACTAGCTAGCCCAAACGCTTCACGCACCGCCCTCCGCTGGCTCGTCGCCCGCTGTGCCTTCACGCCTCGCACCGTCTAAAACCCGTCTTCTCCTCGACTCGTCAACCAACATGCCTCGGCCATGGACGACCTGACCATCCTCGCCCACGCCCAGCGGTTGCGCCGTCCCCGCTTCTCGGCGCGCCCCTTCGCCCTCACCATACTCGCTGTCTCCCTCATCTCGCTGCTGGCATGGGCTCGGTCGCAAGCCCCAGCCGGGCGTGCTCTGCACACGAGGGGGGCCGTCTCGACCAAGGACGCCGAGTGCCGCCTCGTCCACCATGCGCTGGACCAATGCGACTTTGTGCGCGCAAACTGCCCCGATGAGGAGGCTGGCGTCATGTCCTACCTCGCCCTCTACTACTGCCGCCTCCCGCACGCGAAGCCCGTCGCTTTTGTCCTGCTGACGCTCTGGCTCGCCCTCCTCTTCAGCACCATTGGCATTGCCGCAAGCGACTTCTTCTGCATCAACCTCAACACCATAGCGCGCATGCTGGGCATGAGCGAGAGCCTGGCCGGCGTGACCCTGCTCGCCTTTGGCAACGGCAGCCCCGATGTCTTCTCCACCTTTGCCGCCTTCCGCACCCACGCTGCCAGTCTGGCTGTCGGCGAGCTTATCGGTGCTGCCTGCTTCATCACCGCTGTCGTCTCGGGCTCCATGGCCCTGATCCGCCCCTTTCAGGTTGCGCGCAAAAGCTTTGTCCGTGACGTCGGCTTCTTTCTTGTTGCTGCTGCCTTTAGCATGGGCTTCATTGTCGACGGCAAACTCCACCTGTGGGAGTCCGTTAGCATGGTGGCCTTCTACATCTTCTACGTCGCCTTTGTTGTGGCCTGGCACTGGTGGCTCAACCTACGGAAAGCCCGACGCGCGCGAGCAGCTGCTGTTAGGAGCCACTACGTAACACCCGGCGGTGAAGAGGAGGAGTTTCCAGAGTACCACGACGACGAAACCAGCGCTGCTTCTGCGACCCCTGCGTACGGCGCCTCCGCTGACGACTTTTCCATGCTCGAACGCGCAGGAGGCGACAATACGATACATGACGATGACAACGAGGAGGAACGTGAGCGCTGGATGGGCGAGTTGACCAACAATATGCGCGTCAACCGCCCAAGCGTGTCGCGGCGCAACACCCATACCCCGATCCGACCCAGTTTAGTAGGAGCTTTGGAGTTCCGAGCCGTACTTTCCTCGCTGCAAAAGTCGCGCAACATCCAGTCTATGCCAATCAGCCTGCGACGGTATTCCGACGACCCTACCTACACTACTGCCCAGCAGCAATCCTACATCGGACAGACTACAGGTCCAGCGACTCGGCCTCCATTTGACCTGCCTTCTTCCGCCTCCAACATCTCCACCTCACCCCACCTGAGCCGACCGAATCTCGAGATCCAGCAGAGTCTAGGCAACCGAGCGCGAGCTGTCTCCACCAATGACATTGACAATGTCCAACTACAGCCAAGCACCCTGCAAGGACAATGCGTGCCTGACATAACATTTGCGTCTGCCACTCCCAGCGAGCGCAACGGATTGTTGGAAGCGCCGCCCTCACCAACTATCTCGTTATCTTCGCCAGTCTCCCGCTCTTCTAGAGCCCCGAGTCCTACGGCACCGAGAGATAGGCTGCTTTCACCCAACAATTTGGCGCCTCCAGGTGCCGAGGATGGAGCGCCCCTTCGTGTAGTCCTGCCTTCGCCGAATCTACGATCAAGCCCGGCATCAAACTCCGGCCATAGCCGCGAACAGCCTAGTCTGAAGCTGGCCGTACCAGATGCGACTTCCCCACCCATACCATTCCCGCCTTACACCGATTACCCTTGGTCAGCACAGTCCACTTCCAGACCTCAGAGTCTACGTCCGCCTTCGCCAAGTGTGTCACTCGAATCTACCTACTTCCCACGAGATTCCTTTGGGCAGCTCGAACCAACAAAAGTTCCCACGTGGTGGCCCTCGGCACTCCTACCGACCCCGCATAGTCTGGTTGCTACCCTCTTTCCCACTTTGACCAACTGGCGTGACAAGAACGTTTTCGATAAGCTTTTGGGGCTAGTCGCAAGTCTGCCTGTATTCCTGCTTACTATAACGCTTCCGGTGGTCGAGCCGCAAAAAGACGAGAACGACGGAGGCCATGCCCAGCTTTCCCTGGATCTCGGTATGCCACACGCAGCTACACCCGGTGATGCAAGCATAAGATCGCAAACTCCCAGTGTATCCCTTGTCTTGCCACGAGACGACCCCACCATTTCGGGCCTGTCGAACTCGAAATCATCTACGAGCCTTCCTCGACAGCTGGACGGTGGATCCTTCAGCACCACCACCAGCCAACCACCGCAAGTGTATATAACAAGTTCCGACAACGTAGCGCAATCGCCCGAGCAGCTCCCGGCAACCTCAACATCCATCGGGCCAGCGCAATGGAACCGCTGGCTGGTGATCGTCCAGATCTTTACGGCGCCCTTTTTCTTGGTACTAGTCGTCTGGGTAAATGTCGAACCCGACAACCCAGTTGTGTTGCTTCGCCACTCGCTTTACAGCATGCTTGTCTCACTCTGCCTTCTTATCTTCCTCCTCTTGACCACTGCCTCGAATCAAGCACCCAATTGGCGGCCCGCGTTGTGCTTTCTTGGATTTGCCGTTGCCATTGCATGGATTAGCACTATTGCCAACGAAGTTGTCGGTGTTTTGCGTACCTTGGGCGTTATTCTCAACATGTCCGACGCGATTCTCGGCTTGACCATCTTCGCAGTTGGCAATTCGCTTGGTGATCTTGTCGCCGACATCACCGTTGCGCGGCTCGGGTTTCCTATCATGGCACTTTCAGCCTGCTTCGGTGGCCCAATGCTTAATATCCTGCTCGGCGTAGGCCTCAGTGGATGTTACATGATCATCACCAAGGGCGAGCACCGCCATGAGAAGCACCCAGACCAGTCGGTTCATTTCAGACCTTACCACATTGCCGTGAGTACCACCTTGGTCATTTCCGGAGGCACTCTGCTCGTGACGCTAGCTGGACTTCTCCTTGCAGTGCCTTTGCGCAAGTGGCGAATGGACAAGAGAATTGGGTGGAGTCTAGTCGCGTTGTGGTTGGTTAGCACCACTCTTAATGTAGCTGTAGAAGTTCTAGGTTATAGCAGCAATGTTAGCTAAATGTTTGTTTTTTCTTATATACAATCCACAGCAGCTATACACTATATCGACTGTGATTTCTTGGGTAGAAAGACTTGTTGGAAGATGGACGCAGGCGTCTAGTCCAAGTTCCGCCGAGCTTACATGTGTCTATCATGATTATGCACTTCTAGCCTGCCTTGTTCGGGTCGATACCTGTGTTCGGGCTCGCCAACACTTGTTCCAGGTGCGTCAGAAATGACGTCGTGGCTGCATACTCTTGCCGTCTCATTTTCCCCACCATGAAAACTGATACATACATGTCCACTTTGCCTGCATTCACATTCGGAATCCTGTTACCTGCACACGCAATCGTCGTTTCGCCCATCGCGTACGTTAAATATGGGCTGTCGTCAGTCATCGCTTCGCGTATCCAGCGACGAAAACAAGGGTAACCGTAACAATACCAACTGTACAGGTTGCGAGGATTGTAGGTTTGAAACCATGTCTCGAGAAGAACAACACTGACTTTTCCCCCTCACATTCAGGCCAGAACTGCACGGATTGCAAAGGTCAGGCTACTTTTGCATTCGTACACTCGCCACTCTTGGAAGTTTTGACAGACTTCGAGCATCTGCTAACCAGAATATAGACTGCACGGGGTGTCGAAATTGCACCGACTGCAATGATAGTAGCAGCTGCCACAACTGTACCGGATGTGATAACTGTGAAGACTGCAGCAATTGTGTAGATTGCAACGACTGCACAAAGTAAGTGGCGCATTCTGCGTATGAAGCAATGCGATAGACGGAAAGACTGACGGCGATAGTTGCTCCAACTGTACCGATTGCACGGGTCTCAAGGACGCGCACAACGAAACAGGCGTACACAAGTAATTTGGAAGTGATGATAAACTTTGTAAGCGGACGTCTGGGGCCAGTAGTCTTGTACATGTCTTGCGAGTGATGGCAATAAACCTCATCTTTACAGTGTCCCAAGACCAACACTTGGACTAAACTGGCATGCACTTTATTCAACCCACGTCTATTGCTTCCGCGACTCCTTGCATATGGCAAAAGATTGGGACTCAACTTCAATCCAGAATAAGTTTGAGTGTATAATTTGGAGCGCTGCTACTTCCAATTTCACGACTAGCATTGTGAGAAGGCTCCAAAGTGTTTGCTAACGTTGCGCATGCACTAATGCATCACACTGTTCTGTAACAGCAACACATCACCAACAGTATTAAATTGCCTCGCCGAAGTTCTCTTGTTCAAGCTTGCAGTACTACTACCTACAAGACCGTCGAAAAAAATGAAGTCATTCAAGGACTTGATCTCAAAACGAGGCCAGAAAAAGACGGCAAGTCTACCAGGTGATGATCTTGTGCCGCACCTTGTGCGAAAATACGGCCATGGTCGGAAG